CGGCGCCCCCGGCCCGTGCAACCCGCTGACAGCGCGGGCGGTGGGGCGCATGCGCACGGCGGCGCCGGGGCCCCTTAGCGGCCATTTTGGAAGAGGGCGGAGCAGCCCTTTCCCTTCTTCGCCTCTCTCACGCCTCGTCTCCATGGCAGCGGGGCGGGGCGGGCCTGGCACGCGTGCGCACACGCACCCTGGCCCTGCCATGTGTTGTCTTCTGACACACACCCACACACGTGTCACCCTCTGATACACACACAAAACCTTGGCCTGGTCCTAGCATGTCATCCTGTGACACACAAGTATGCACACAAATCACACACAACCTTGGCCCAGCTCTGGCACATCATACACACACACACACAACCTTGGCCTGGCCCTGGCACATCATCCTCTGACATGCACACACACGTGTAACCTTCTGACACACACACACCTTGGCCTGGCACTGGCATGTGTCGTTCTTTGACACATACATACATGTCACCCTCTCGCGCACGCACACACACACAAACTTTGACCCGGCCCCGGCGTGTCATCCTCCGACACACACACAGGCACACACACACACGTCACCCTCTCTCACACAGACACACACACACCCTTGACCTGACCATGGCACATGTCACCTGACACGCATGCACACACATACACACACACACACACACACGTGCACCCTTTGACACACACACAGGGGTGGATTAAAATTAATTTGGACCCGGGGCCCAACCCACACCCTGCCCAGCAGCTGTGGGGTCTGTCCCCAGTGGAAGCTGCGGCCAGAGTGGGACACGCTGCCCCCCAGGCCTGGGGCAGAAGCTGCAGCCGCAGCCACCCCTGCCTGCAGGTCCATGCTGGGGGTGCATTGGGGGTGCGGAGCTGCTGCCCGCTGGGCATACGCAGTGCAGACAAAGCTCTGGGGGCGGCTTCTCACCCCACCATGGCTCAGTCCAGCAGTGGTCCCTGGCAAAGTAAGCAGAAAGGCTTTCAGAATGAGCTCTGCCTTGTAGTTCACCATTCTTTCCACCAATGTGAGGTTTCATGATCCTTTTCTCATCATGAGACTGTCATTTGTGTCATAAAACAGGTTACTGTGCTGTATTTCCTTGAGTACGTGTGGCTTTCTCGGGAGGTGTGAGCATGGGCAGATCTAGGAGTTTGAAAAGCGGGGTGCAGATAGTGAGGCGTATCATCACATCTAAACACAGATTTTTCTTGTTTACTAATACTCTAGGGCCCAGGGCTGTATTATTTAGTTTAAGATAAAAGCAAAAACAAATATGACTTTCTTGGAATGTGCATTACTTTGCTACATCATACATGATTTATAGAACACCATAAACGAGGCAAAAAATAATCAGAAGCTGTTGTTTCTGTAGTCCAGCGGTCATTAGAATTAAATGGGCATTTCTTTCAGATTAATAAAATCTAATCTTGAAAATCTTAACAGAGCATCCAATGTTTCACTGAAAGTTATTTCTACACCTGAGTTAACGTTTTTAGTTGAAGTTAAAAGCAGTCTGCAGGGCTGTGAAATAGAAGCCGCGTTACCAGGGGCAGCTGAGAGGCAGCAGAATTGCAGAAGACTGGGTAGTTTGATTAGTGGAACATCAAGACCATTAAAAAGGAGAAAGGGTTGTGAACACCTGTGGAATTAAGAGTTTAGAAGGAATCTGGTAGATTATAATGAGCCATGAAATCAAGTGACTCCCCCACTGCTGCCTGAATAGAAATGCTGCTGCCCTTCCCAGGCAGTTGTTTTTAAAGTTTGAATGCAGCAGGAATCAAGGGAGGTGCAACTGCACTATTTCACACCCCTGGATCTGCCCCTAGGTGTAAATACATACCACCACCCCAGTTGTCCCCATAGTATCATTGTCAGGGTTAGCAGAGGACATGCTAGTTATCAGTATACTGCCTTCCACATCTGTCATCTTCCATGCGAAGAATTCAACAGATTTAATAATGAATTAAACTTCAACAGTCCTGTAAATTAGGAGATTATTGGTACCTATTATTGCAAAATGGCTTCTACGTGTGACTTGGTCACAGTCACACTGCATGTGCATGGTAAACTGAAAATAGGACCCACATTCTCCTAATACCTAGCCCCAAGTTTTAACCACAAGAGCAGCCTTTCTTCCTATGAAGGGTGTGGTTTCCTAACACCCTCTATCCCACCTCTAACCCAGTGTGCGGAAGATCAAACATAAAGAGAGTTGGAGTTTGAATAAGAAATAATTAAAACGCGTTCCCTAGTTTGTAAGAATTCCATGTGTCTAGGCCGATATCTAAAAATATTCTGTGCACATGACCCATTTACTGCAGACAGTGTGCCTTCGTTTAGTATGCTTGTTCATGCCATTCCTCTTGCAAATGTTGGAAAATATGCAAAGCATCATGGCATCATGGAAGCCAGCCCAATTTAACTTGTTGGAAGGGCTGTCTTAGCAGCATTCGCATCCACATTAAAATATCTGAACTTACATATTACAGATACAATGCCTTGTAGAGAACACAGTTCAACTTTAGGTCCAGGACATTAAATCCAGTTAAACCAACTTAATGCATGAGAAGTATTGGTTGAAGTGACTTTTTTTATGAGTACGGATTTGTCCTGACTTCCTGGGCCAAAATTCCCTTTCTCCCATGCTGCTGTACAATATCCTGCACAGGTCTCAGGAACAGTCGGTATGTACCTCTATGCCATATGGACACTCAGTACATACATTTTTTCTTTCCAGAATCACAGCTTCTTTATTAATTATTTATTTTCTTGAAAAAATGGTGATCTGTTTAACTGTGGAGAAAATCTCAAACTGTTGTGAACTGGTTATAAGTTACTTAGAGAACAATTGTGGAACAATTGTGTCAGAGCCCAGCTAATTTATGCCAAACAAAAGTCTGCCTCCTACACAGTGAGAGGTGTGAACAACCACAGTCATCCAGTGATGGATTTGCTCAGATGGTCAATGTCAACAGTTTAAATTGCAATGTTGTTAACTATTTCCTGAAGTAAGGAAGGAAAGAGGGGGCCCTAGATCTGCACAATTTGCCATTGGTGACTTCACCTTGTGGTGTTACAAGTATTTAGGAGAAACCCTTGCTTACTATTTTTAACCAGCCACGTAGGAACCAATCTTGTGGAGCCCATGAGAATGTTTTTCATCATTTCACAACTTTTGAGGCCAGAAAGGATCATCACTGTCATCTAGTCTGACCTCTTCTATAACATTTTATCCCGTATTCGAAACACAACAGTTCAGAAAAAAAGATGCCAAGAAGCACAGATGATCATATCTGACTATTTGCGCAATCTGTTTTAAGTGGCATTTCATGATGCCAAGTCGCATGGGTGGAGCTATTCTATTCTAGATAGGTTCATCCACAAACCTCTTCACCATAATATCTGACTTCCTTTGAGAAGTGAATTAAATGAAACGGCCTAAATGGACCACATCATTTATTTTTCTTTTATTCTCTTCTAAATTGGAAAAATGTGTTTGCATTGTAGTGTTTTGTTTCAAAACAGTTTTAGTTTTAGAGATTTCTCTAAATGAAATGGTGCTATGTGCCTATTTTATAGGAAGTGACTTAAAGAATTACACCTAACACTACAGGAAGGTAGCGAGATTCATGTTGGCCCTTAGTTTCTGTGACAGTTTGATCCACAGCCTCTAAGAAAACTCCTGAGAAAGCTCAAGATAACTATTTAAAGTAAGGACCAAGACTCTATGCTTTCTTATGAAAAGCTAACAAAGGGAGTAGAAGACAGGTCTGATATGCAAGTGGTAACCTGTAGTGTTGAAGAGATGCACTGCAGCATTTTGTATTAGGCGGAGGCTCATAAAAACTAACAGCTTCATGCCCAGGTATACTGCATTCCTGCAACCCAAAGAAGAGATGACAAAGGTGTATATAACCATGGGCAGGTCATCTTCCAGGCAGATGCTATGAACTCCCTTAGCTGGCTGGAGGTGGCTTATTCATAGATACTGCTATAAGAGGGCTTAATTGCAGCTGAGAATCTAGGAGCACTACTAAATTAAGGAACAATCAACCACTTCTAGGTGTGTCTCTTTAAACAAAGGAGACTCCAGAGTGACTGAAGACTCCAGTGTCAGGTTTTTTGCACACCAGTATAACCTCGGCCTTACTCAAGTTCAGTTTCAACTGTGTATTCTTCATCAAAGCAATCTGCTGTCTTGATGGCAGCGGTGTGGTCATACATGATGCAGGATAGGTAGAGCTCTTATCATACCAGTTCATCTTGTGACTGTGTGCAGAAGCTGAAAAGGACAAGAAAGAGAATGGATCCTGGTGGGACTTAACAAGTAAGAAGTCTAGAGACAGAGGTGCAAGTTTTCCGTCTCTAATCTCTTGCTACATCCACTCAGGAAGGATTCAAGTTCCTCCTCAGTTGAAAGCAATATCTTGGAAGAGCATTATCACCTATCCCCTAATGCTAGAGGTTGACTGGCCACTACCCTTCATGCAAAATAATTCAAGCAGAGTGCCATGAAAAACTGGGGATCAAACAGACCATTTAAAAGTCTAGACTCCCAAAAGGAAGACTAATTGACATGGTTCTAGCAGCTGCTAGGTAATGGTCCAATTCTGGTAGACAAGTTAGGAGACATATGTTTGGGGAATTATATTTGAGTCAGAAAGACCACATCCTCCAGTGTCATTGATCTGACCAGCAAAAGCAATATCCTTTTGCTTGCTGCGAGTATTCAGTTGCAGTTTAAGTTGGTATGCACATGTTTCTTAGTAGGAAAAAATAAAGAAAGTAGACAAAAGTTCATGAAGATAGAACTATTAGACTTGATTAGCTAATTATGTGCCAATTTGGGAAAATAATTACAACTATTAGACAGCTTCCATGATAAAATTCTTCGGAAAGACTGGCAAGGGCACAGTGTAAACACTCTTGCACTAATGGAGCACAATACTGTCCAATCAGTGAAAGGTCAGTTACCGGGG